GCCCTGGGGGCTGCCACAGCTGCTCAGGGCAGCCTGCATTTATACTCACTGAGTCAGAAACCCCAGAAACCCTAGGGGAAAGCACAGTGGGAATGGTGCTTGCCTTGCACATGGTGACCCAGGTTCTATTGCCAATATCCTGGAGGGGACACTGAGGCCCACCAGGAGTGATCTCCAAATGCAGATTCAGGAGTAAGCCTTGAGCACTATCAGGGGCAGGCCCCAAACAAAACACCACAATAATGTGGCTTAAATGGTAGTATCCATGACTGCAGGTATGAGACCCTGAGATCCATTGCCATCATGGCATGACCCAAAGCAGTGGTCTTGGTGACCCCGGGGGAGGGGGGGATGGTGGGTATGGTCCCCATAAGTAACAAAACAAAAAACAACTGGAAGAAACCCTGAAAGTGTGGAGGGGGAAGGAGAGGTTCAGCTGAACTCACCCCCAGCATGCACGGTAGGGGGGCTTCACTGAGTCACTCCCATTGCTTCAGGCCCGCGCAGCCCCGCCTCTGACTCTCACATGCTCAGGGAGGCTCCGAGTGAAGAGGTTCGTGGCTCTGCAGTTTCCCAGCTCAGCTCTCTAGCCCAGCAGGGAATGAGAGGTTTTCGTCAGAGCTGCCTGGACGGAGGCTCAAGGCTGCTGCCACCCTCCCAGGCAGAATATGTGTCAGGGTTGCAGACCCAGCTTCTGTGAGCAATGGACTCTCCAGCCACGTCCCCCGCCCCCTGCACTGTACCTCACCACACCCCAGCACTGAGGAGTCCTGCTCCTTTCTTCAGGAAAAGACTCATTTGTGAACTAGCACCAGAGGGGGGCTGGGGGTGCTACAGGCAGCACCTAGAGAAGTGACAGGTATGCTGGAGCGATGGCACAGTGGCTAGGGCATTTGCCTTATATGCGGCCAACCTGGGTTCGATTCCCAGCATCCCATATGGTCCCCCGAGCACTGCCAGGAGTAATTTCTGAGTGCAGAACCAGGAGTAACCCCTGTGCATCACTGGGTGTGACCCAAAAAGAAAAGAAAAGAAGTGATAGGCAAGGTCACTGTTCCCGGAAGCTCCCAACATTTGAAATGGGCTAACGCCCCACCTCCAGGCCCCTGATTATTTCTCTCAAAGTCTGGGGCCGTGACTGGAGTCATAGTACAGTAGGCAAGGTGCTTGCTTTGTGTGCCACCAATCCAAGTTTGATTCCTGGCATCCCATACAGTCCCCTGAGCACAGCCAGGATTTCTGAGTGCAAAGCCAGGAGTAGCCCCTGGGCATCACCTGGTTTCCCCCCAACCCCCCACCCCCATCAAAGAAAACAAAAATTAGTGGCTGGAGCTGAGACACAAGGGCTTTGTCAGTCTGGACTCCTGATGAGCCGGTGATCCATGAGCCCCAGCGGCTCTGGGGAAGAAGCCTTAGTCGTCCAACTGCAGAGGAGCCACTAGGTTTTCTCCTTACTCACCATGCTACCTTAGAGCCCCGAGGTTACCAGAAATCACCAGGGTGAAGTTAGGGACTAAGGACTGCAAGTTGGGGCTGAGGAGTGGCTTAACTGGCAGCATGAGGTCCCTGGGGTGAGTTGCCAGTACTGAAAAAAATTAAATCAAATCAAAAAGACTGAATTAGAATGAGAACAATCCTTTCAACTGGTGAGTTGCGAGATCCTCCAGGATATTCTACCCTCCTCTCTCCTACCCTCCGGGTGACACAACTGCCCCATCCCCCATCCCCCCTCCACACACATAACAGGGGCCTCTGGCTGAGCATGCCAGGTGACACCACCTCTGTGCTGCACTGAGTTGACAGTACAAGAAGTGGAAATGCAGAATGGTCTCTGCACCCCACCAGTACTCCATTCCCACAATCCTGTGCTTGAGCCAGAGACGCACTTTCACACTTTACCTCCCTGTCCTTGAGAGTCTTAGGGTCTCCCGGTTGGGCCTATCCTGAGGTGACAGTGAACAGTAATCTGGGAGAGAACTGGGCAGCTCTGACTTCAGGGAGCCCCTCACTTGGCTGGCCCTAAACCCAGGTGCTGCGTGTGACCGAGCAAGGAGTTGGTTACTGGGGAGAGTCCTGGGGATCTCCCAGTTGGCAGGATAGAAGCAATGGGGCTTCTAAGCAAGAAGTCATCCTGATGTGCATTCTGGGCCTAGATCCCGTGAAACCCACCATCCACACAGCCATGACCCAGCGGCCCTGCAGCATCAAGGTGCAGGGGCGGGGAGCATAAGGAGGAGCTGTTCTCCCTCTCCAGGGACTATTGTACAGTGGCCTTGACGAGTATAAATAGCCCCACAGTCGGCACCTCTAAGCTGGTGCCTTGAAAACGTAGAACAGCGGCCTTTGAGATGCTGGCTCATCTCAGAGCTGGCAGCACTTAGGAGGAGGGAAGCAAGTCTATGCCCTGACTCTGTACGTGTGCATGAATGTATGTGAATGATTGTGTGTGCATGTCTGCATGCATACTTGTGTTTGTGTACACTTGCACATGAGTGCATGTGAGTGTGTGCAAGTGAGGTGCTGCAGGTGGAGCAGGGAGCCTTGCAGAGGGACTAGGGCTGGGCAGTGGGAGAACCCTCTAGCTGGTACAGACCAAGGCAAGTCAACCCATGCCTCTGGGCTCCATCCCGAAGTCCCTGGGTCCCGATCATCGGGATATGAACCCTGTCCACCCTTCCCTGGCACTGTTTTGCTGACCCACAGCCCTTTTCTAGCCTCAAAGTCTGTGATATGCTGCCCCGCTCTGTACCAAACTTTCCCCGACACTTTCTGGCTCACTTCACACCTGACCAAGTGCCAGCAAAAATGTCACCCCCCTCAGGGCCTCAGGGGTGGCTTGGCAGCAAAAGGCACCTGCTTTCCAAATGTGAGGCTGCAAATTCAATCCGTGATGCTGCCCATGTGCACTGAGCAAGATGCCTCTGCTTTTGGAGACCCCAGCATTGCAATGAAGTGTGCTATCTCAGGTGTGCCACAGTCAGATAAGAGCACCACACCCAAGCACGTCACAATGAACACATGACTAAGCACTGTGTCACCACAACAGCAAAGAGGAAAGTACATAAAATAGAGTGACAAAGTTATTTTATTTTTTCATTTTGGGGACCTTCCAAGTAAAATACATAGGGGACATGAGACCATTCCTTGCAATGCTATACTGGAATGTGATGCTGCCTGGACCCAGTGGGTTCCTCAGGGCAACACCTGGTGCTGCCAAGAATCCTTGAGTCAGACCATAGTACAACAGGTAGGGGCCAGAATGATAGTACAGCAGGTAGGGATTTGCCTTGCACGCAGCTAGCCTGAATTCAATCCCTGGCATCCCATATGGGCCCCTGAGCACCACCAGGAGTAATTGCTGAGTGCAGAGCCAGGAGTAACCTGAGACTGCCACCTGTGGCCCAAAAACAAAACAACACAAAAAAACAGGTAGAGTGCTTCCCTTGTACACTGAGAGCCCCGGTTCAACCCCTGACATCCCATATGGTCCCCCAAACATCACCAGGAATGATTCCTGTGAGGACCCAGTAGTAAGTACTGAGCACTGCTAGGCGTGGCCCCAAAACAAAAAAAAAAGTAAAAAAATTTTTTTTAAGTTAGGCTTGGGGTATTGGAGAGAGAGCACAGCAGGTAGGGCACTTGTCTTCTATACAACTAGCCCAGGTTCAGTCCCCAACTCCTCTTATGGTCCCTGAACTGGCCAGGAGTGACCCCTGAATACAGACCCCGGAGTAAGTACTGAGTATTGCTGGATGTGCCCCCAAAACAAAACAAAAAAACCCAAAAAGTTGGTCTGGGACTGTAGCCCAATTGTATTTACTTGTATGTGTGAGGCTCTGGGTTTGAACCCTAGCACCATAAAAAAGGGGGTAGAAAAAAAGGGATAGGGTTAAAAGGGAGGGCCATTGTGGTCCTTGGGGGAAGGATACAGGAACAGTGGTGATGGGTGTGTTGTTGGAATTGTCTACATAAGCACCATCAACAATATAATAAATCACATGAGCCAAGCACTAGTACAGTGGGTTGCATGCAGTCAACCTGGGTTCAATTCCCAGCATCCCATAAGGTCCCCAAAACCCAGTAGGAATAATTCCTGAATATAGAGCCAGGAATAACCTTAAGCACCACTGAGTGTGACCCTAAAACAAAACCAAAATTGTAAATCGTAGCACTGTAGCACTGTTGTCCCACTGTTCATTGATTTGCTCGAGCAGGCACCAGTAATGTCTCCATTGTGAATCTTGTTACTGTTTTTGGCATATCGAATACATCACAGGGAGCTTGCCAGGTTCTGCTGTGCGGGCGGGATACTCTAAGTAGCTTGCCAGGCTCTCCAAGAGGAATAGAGGAATCGAACCCAGGTCAGCCGTGTGCAAGGCAAACACCCCTACCGCTGTGCTATCGTTCCAGTCCCACAAAATTGTAAGTCAACTAAAAAAATAAAATCTAATCTTAGGGCTAAGGAGGTAGCTCAGAGGGCTAGAGCACACTTCTCGTGCAAGGGCCTCAAGTTCAATCCCCAGCACTTCATGTTCCCCTGGGCATTCCTGAGAGTGACCTCTGAACTCTGTTCCAAGAGTAGCCCCTGGCTACTACTGGGTATTAGCCATAAACAAACTACTTTCTGGAGAATCTCCCCTCACCTCTCTCTGCTTAAAGCTCTCGTCCATCCCCTCAGGACAGCCTGCCTTTAGCATTTATCACAACTTGTACTTAGGTGGTCATTTGCTCATGTACTAGACAAGGAGTTTGTTGAGTCCTGTGGCCCGCAGGACAGGCAGACAGCAGATGTTCCATAAGTTCTCATGCATCAAAGATAGCCCTCACCAGATTCTTCCGTGGAACATGGAGGAGGTGGGGAATGTACTCTGTTCCTCTCTAATTGCCCCAGCAGGCTAAGGCACAGGGATGGGTAGAGGCCATCTTGATTCCCCCTATACACACCCCAGAGGTAGTTTGGGGTCCATATCTGACCCTGTGTGGCCTGGCTAGGGCAGAAGTCACAAAGGCTGAGGTGGTTCTGAAAGAGGCCGGGCTTGCTCTGTGAGCCTGCACACAGGTGGGGATGGTGATTGTTCTGTCGCCACGTCTTCCTCAGCCGAGGCCCCAGGGCCCAGATTCACATAGGTGGCGGGCAGCTGCACGTAGTGGTCCCCACGCAGCACACTCACCACCCTCTCAACTTCCCTTGCTAGCACTCCAAACGTGGGGCGTGCTGCAGGGTCTGCCACCCAGCAGCGCTGCATCACTGTGTACCTGCGAAGAGGGGACAATGTCACTACCCACACACACCTAGAGAGAAACAGCTGCCCAGCTCCGTGAACCACTTGGCAAGCCACATGGGGAATGGACAGATGGCCAGTTCAGGGACCTGCATCACCCACCAGGGCTGCTTTTCTGTCATTGCGATGCTGTCCCAGTCCTGCCTGTCCACCCTGGCAGAGGACCTGGCAAAGTTTGAAAGGCCTCTGGTGTTAAGAGCTAGGGCAGGCAACAGTGGTAGTACAGGGGGTAGACTGCTTGCCTTATGTGTGGTCAACCTGGATTTGAGTCGAAGCATCCCAAATAATTTCCCAAGCCCCGCCAGGAGTGATCCTTGAGCACAATGAGCACAGAACAAGGAGTGAGCCTTGAACACCACAGGGCATGGCCCAAGAGCCAAAAAAAAAAAAAAAAAAAAGGGTTGGGATTCCTGTGTCCTGTGATCACGGCTGTGTCATCTTAGATAAGTTTCTTAACCTCCCTGTGCCTCTGGATCCTCTAATTGCAGACCCATGGGGCAGAAGGTATGAAGGTGCCCATGAAGTGCTTCACTTAGTGCCCAGCTCCCAGGCCTCCAGGGTTATCAGATGTCAGCCAGGAAAGAAACCCAGGTCTAGGGAAATGGGGGTTAAAATACTGGGATAGGGGATGTAGTTCAGTCATAAAAAGCACCTATGAGTCCTGAGTTTGACCCCCAAACAAAAAAGGAGAAGAAAAGGGCCTAAGACAAGGACACGTGGGAGCACCAGTAGCCCCAGGGTTCCTAGTTAGTTCCCAGTCAGTTTCTCTGGATTTATCTGGTCAGTCCTAATCCTACCCCATTCTTGGGGATGATCATCCCTGATTTAAATAACCCTCCCAGTGTCACCCACACAGTAATTTCTTAATTCTTAGGCTCACTGAGAGTGGCATGCTATTACCCCAACTTTAAAGATGGGGAAACTGAGGCTCAGAGGGGAATTGGGACTTGCCTAGTAACATGGATAATATGACATCACCTGGATTGCCCCTTTATTCTCTCAGGGGATGCTGGTGACTTGTGACTGAGATCTAAGAGAGAAAAGTATCTCCTCCCTGAAGAGAAGGCACAAAAGACTGTAGCATTTACCTGGCGCATGAAAGCCCTCAGTTCAATCCCTGGCACTGCACGCCACGCACTGCTTGGAAGAGAATTGCCCACCCCCGCCCTCAAAATGATAACTTCTTTCCTCCTCAGGGTCAGCTGTGACCAGTATATGAGTCATGTCTGGGTCGAAGGGCCCTTGCAGTCCCAGAGTTCCCGTGGGGTGGGCTGCAGCCTCAGATGCATCCGTATTCCAGCCCAACCTCTCCCCCTGCCCGGTCCTGTTCCCCAAGCCCCCAGCCTACCACTACCCCACTGCACGTCATCTCCAGCTCAGTCTGTCTCAGGGAGCCTGCCCAGGAGGCAGATCGGCTATGAGTGAATGTTCCTACTTCAGACCAGATGCTTTAGTGAAGTGACTAATAAAGATCAAACCCAAGGCGGGGGGTGGGGGGGAGAAGTGGGGAGAAAGGGTTACTCATCGCTTCTGGAGCACAGTGGGAGCTGAAGGAATCATCCGCCACCTTTACCTGGGACCTGGCTCTTCGTGTTCTGACCACAAAGAGCCTGGCACGGCCGAGACATGTGAGCTGAATATGAAACCGAACCTCGGGACCAAAGCCACCCCACAGGCACTGATGCTAGCACAGCTGCTGCCAGGCTTCCGGAAACGGGGAGCCTGGATCCGCATCCAGTGGGGAAAATATCTGATCTCGAGATGTGGAGGGGGCTAGTGTGGGAGCTAATAGAACCTTTCCTTGGGGTTAAGTGAGTGGAAAAGATGGAAAACAGCCCCCCTTGGCGGGGGTGGGCAGAGGAGTGCTGGGAAATCAAATCACTGGCCTCAACCCAGACTCTGAGTTGGGAATGCTGTTACCATGGCAACTGTGATATCCTCCCAGCACTCAGCCCTGAATGGGGGCAGAGCCAGTCCACAGATAAGGAAATAGGCCCAGAGAGGGTCTCTTTCCAGGTCATCCCGAGAAGCGGTTTGAGAGCAGAGGCCCTCCCCTTCCTCCCCATTGAGGTCTGCACATACTCACAGAGAATCAGGGCAGTACTCGGGCTGGGGCAGGCGCCGGCCCTGCACCAGGAAGTGAGTGAGGTCAAAAGGATCAACATGGGGATAAGGTGGGGCTCCCCGTGTAAGCAACTCCCATAGCAGCACACCAAATGACCACTGTGGGAAGAAGGGAGAAGTGGACTCAACTCTCATCCCAAATCTGGAGCAGCTGGGCACCCCGAGTCTTCATTCCTTGAAGCCTTCAGGGGTACAGACCCCATTCCTCAGTCCTTGTCTCCTCCCACCACCTGAGTCTGGGCTCAGCTGGGACTGGGCAGGGCCTGATTGTGAGAAGCCAAACAGTTCCTCCTACCTAAGACATGGGCCCATGGGCTTGGGGGCTGCCTGCCTTAGGAATCCCCTGGGCACCGTTCACAGCTCAGAGATGGGAGGGGCGGGGGTAGGTCCAGTGTTCTCCCAGCTCTGGGGTACGCACCACGTCAGACTTGGTGGTGAATTTGTAGGTCTGCAGACTCTCCAGGGCCATCCATTTGATAGGCAGGCGAGCGTGGCGCTGCTGTTGGACGCTGTAGTACTCCTTGTCCAGGATGTAGCGGGCCAGACCAAAGTCAGCCACCTTGACCGTGAATGAGTCATCCAGCCTGGGACAGGGGTGACTCTCAGATTGGGCCTCTGCACACCCTGACGCCACATGTCCCAGGTCTCATGGATTTCAGAGCAACAGGGGGCCGGGAAAACTGAGGACAGGCCCAGAGCTTCACAGCAAATGCCCTTTTCAGTGGCCCTTTGAAGCAGAACAACACCCTGGTGCCTTCCCTGCTTGATTCACCCCAACTCACATGCAGTTTCGAGCCGCCAAGTCTCTGTGCACAAACTTCTGCTCTGCCAGGTACTCCATGCCACGGGCAACCTGCAGGCCAAAGCTGACAAGGTCCTTCACCGTGGGGTTCTGGGGATACAGGTGGGCTGGTCAGCCAGGGGCAGGGCAGTTTTCTCTTTGGCAGCTGACCCAGCCCCTGGCCCAGGAGCAGCGGAGTACTGACCCGCTGGGGTGAGCGGATGAAGTGGAGCAGGTCTCCGTGGTGCATGTAGGGCAGCAGTACTAGGGGCAGCCCCTCTGTGGGCAGCACGATGCCGATGAGCGCCAGGACGTTTGGGTGGTGCAGCCCCCGCATGAGCAGCCCCTCTCGCAGGAAGGCCTCTACCTCCTGCACCTCTGTGATGCCTGCAGAAAGATCTGAGTCACGGGAGGAACAACCTCGGGATTGCTCAGGGTCACCGGGATGGGGGATACACACAGGGATGAGACCTCTCCCAGCCTCTGCCTGACTCACGGCTCAGAGACTTGATGGCACAGTGCACTTGATTCTGGGCCTCATCTGTGTAGTCTCCATGGTAGACAACCCCAAAGTGACCTGGTGAGAGGGATATGGAGAGATGAACCCCAGAAGTCAGTGCTTACCACACAGTCATTGGCAACCAAACCTCAAGTATCAACCAGCCAGCTCACTCAAGCCTGTGTTCTCCTTTGAACACAGATCTCTCTCTCTCTCTTTTTTCCCCCGCTTTTAGGGTCACACCAAGTGATGCACAGGAGTACCTCTTGGCTCTGCACTCAGGAATTACTCCTGGCAGTGCTCAGGGGACTATACGGGATGCTGGGAATCGAACCTGGGTCGGCCGCGTGCAGGGCAAATGCCCCACCTGCTGTACCATCACTCCAGCCCCTACATCTCTCTCTTTCTGCTTTTTTTCCCCCCATTCTGGAGAAGTACCTGGTTCTCTCCTCTCTTTCCTTCCCCTCACATTTTCCTAAGTAAATTTTGTCCAATTGAAAAAAAAAAAACTATTGGAGCCAGAGCTATTGTAGAGCAGGAAGGACATTTGCCTTGTGCTGGTCTGACCCAGGTTCGATCTCTGGCACTCAATACCGTCCCCTGAGCCTACCAAGGCTGATCACTGAGTGCAGAGCCAGGAATTGACACTGAACATCACCAGGTGTGGCTCAAAAACAAAAGCAAAATCTTCCTTGCTTCACTGAAAAGTAATAAAAAGTATCAACTGGCCAATAGAACATTTAAAAAGTGGCAATAGGGCTGGGAGGTGGCTCACCAGGCTGTGCTTTGCATGTGGAACCCCAGGTTTGAGACCCCTGCACCACATGATCCCCTGAGCACCATGGGGAGTGTGCTAAAAACCAAAATAGCAAGAAACTAACATTAGGGTTGAGGAGGTGTCATGCCTGCCATGTGTGAGACCTGGGTTCAATCCTGCACCACGGAAACAGGGCCAGAGAGAAAGTTCAAAGGGCCAGAATGTACGTACGAGGTCCTAGGGTCACTAGACCAAATGGCCCCAAGCATTGCTGTGTGCAGCCCTTGAGATTCTCAGCATCATTGGGTCAGAACATTGAACATTCATCCCAGTTAGCTGATTATCACCAGGAGTGGCCCTAAGGCCCTATGAGCATTGCTTGTGAGTCCCCCCCCCCAAATAAAGGCCATATATGGCAGAGCTGAAAATCCCCCATGACCTTTTATTTTATTTTGGTTTGGGGGTCATACCTGGCTGTGCTCACAGCTTACTCCTGGCTCTCTATTCAGGTATCACTCCTGGCAGAGTTCAGGGGACTATGGGGGGTGGGGAGGAGGGATCAAACCCAGGTCAGCTCCATGTGAGGCAAGTACCATGCCCACTATACTATCAGTCCAGCCCCTGCCCCATGACCTTAAGTCTGCACACGAACCCAAAAAAGATGGAATTAACTAATCACATATGAGCAGATGGAGGCTTAGAGGGGCTCAGAGACATTCCTAACTTTGGGGAGAAGACCAAGAGCAGAGACCTACTCAAGTATCCCCTGAGCCCACGTCATGTCCCAACTTCATCCCTGTCCTGTTCTGGCCCGCACACCTTTGCCAATGACGCGGTCACTGTGGGTGATGACCCGCTCTTGGGGAATTAGCATGTCCTTGACCTCAGCCAGGAGCGCTGGATCCAGATTCCCGGGCTGGATGGACATGGTCTGCACCAGCGGGACAGGAGCCCCATCTCCAGAGTCTGAGAACACTCTATGGACCCGAGAGCTGGTATCCAGACTGTCAGAAGCTGTGGTGGAAAAGAGGAAGTGAGGGGCTTGTAGAGCAGAGGGTCTGCCCAGCCTCATCTTCGAGCACCTTCTCTCTCTCACCAAGGCCGGTTTGGGAGTCAAAGCCTGAGCTGAGCAGTGGCAGAGACACGGCTCCAGTGCTCCGGTCCAGGTCACTCGGATTGGAAGATAGAACTGTGGAAAGATGACCCCCTAGTGGCCAGTTTCTCCAGGTTGCTAGAGGCCAGCTCCTACACGGGAGGTGTGAACAGACCCGCAAGCCTGGGCAAAGAGGCCACAGAAATGGGGAGAGGCCATTGTTGGGGTAGGGGGTGAGTTAGGATGAGACTGAAGGGCTCACCTAGCTTCTTCCTCCGCCGGTACATGACCACCAGCACGGTGACCAGTATGGCTATAAGCAGGAGCAAGGCCAACAAGGCCAAGATGAGCATCCTTTGTGGAACCCCCACTGGGTCTGGCCGCACCACCCTGCCCAGGATATGACACTGGTCATCCACGCAGACCTGGGGATGGGTGGCAGCTCAGGCCCAGCCTCTGAGCCTTGACCCATGCCTCCTGTGGAAGGCCAGCCGAGCTGCTTACCTCCAGTAGGGCCCCAGAGCGGCCACGTTGCAGGGAGGAGGAGGGTAGTGGGCAGATGACCACATCCCCGCGGAACTCATATTGGCAGCTCTTGCCATCCACAGTCACATTTACATCCATACAGTCGGCCACAGCGCCCAGTCCGATATACTGCAGAGATTGTCATGAGGACTGGCCGGGATGCCCATATCCTCCAGGCAGCTTTGAACCCCAGCCACCTCTCTTCCCACCTCCTCCCAGACCTACCTACCTCAAACTTAACCGTGTGCTCCTCAGGCTTCAGTGAGGCAAGGTCAATGGTGGGTGGGAGAGGTTGGGGCAGGACTCGAAAGTCAGGCAGCGTGAAGGCAGCAGCTCCATCCAGCTGTGCACTCAGGTTCCCAGGCACCCACCCTCGTGGGCTCCGGACCACATATTCAGGCAGGCGGCACCGCTGCTGCTCAGGGAGCTGCCTCTCACACTGCCAGGGCCCGTGGGAGAGTGGTTAGCCTGTTGTCTGCCCTTGGGACCCTGAGGATGGGACAGCCAGCCCCTCTTCTGCGCAACTCCTTCTTACCCTGCTCTCCACGACCCCCAGCCCATCATCGAATGACAGCATGAGGTGTGAAGCCGAGGTCAGGTGTTGGCCCCGGATAGTCACGTGTGAGCCCCTGTGGATGGATGTCAGGGGTGGCTTCAGTGTGCTCTCTGGGGCTGGCTCCAGGTCCCTCCGAGAGCACAGAGGCGGGTGGTAGCACTCACGTGTAGCCACAGTTGGGGCTGATGCCCAGCATGATGGGGTCTTCCCGGTAGCGGAAGGTCCAGGAGCTGGGCACCGTGGCACCCCCCACCTGCAGGTGAATGGGAACGCTGGCCACGGCAGCCCCAGGGGGCATGGTACATACCAGCTGCCCCTCGCTGACTCTGAAGAACAGGGATCGGAATCAGGGGTCCTCCAGGGTACAGTCAGGCCTATCTCCTGAGGGCTCCACCAGTCCCGCCTAGCTCTTCTGTGACTCATTCTCACACCCGCCCATATCCTATGGGTCTGTCTGGTGGGGGACTCCCCAGTAAAATCTCTAAGAAGGCAGACCAGAAGTATGCTCCCCACCTGAGGCTACAGATGCTGTGATGGGCTCGACCGCACATTGCCTCTGGGTGGGGAGCAGCAGACCCTCCTCCCTGGGCCTGCTCCCTGCTTTTACACGTGACAGTGCCCTGCTGGGGTGTCCCACACACTCCCCTGTGGGCTCCCCTCTGGGAGGTTCCTGGTACTTACTTTTCCAGCAGGCACTCAGTTCCATTGACCAACACAGCCCGGCTGGTGCCCACGGACAGGCTGTGGCCTTCAAGGGTGAGGCGAGTGCCCCCTGCTTGTGGGCCAAAGAGGGGGTAGATTGCCGTCAGCACTGGCTCCTAAGAGGGGATGAAGGGGGTTAAGCTGGGAGTGGGGGAGCCGCCCTGCCAGCCTCTCCCTCTCCAGACTGGCTGACTGGGAGGGCACAGACAATCACGTGACTCACTAGGAAAGAGAAGCCTGGCAGTGCAGCGGTGCCGTCGATCCGAAAGTATTTGTTCAGTGTCATGTTGGTGATGGTGAGGCTGACGTTGGCAGCTCCGGCTTCCTGCACATCCAAGGGCTCCAGTTCACACTCAAGCTCTTCTCCAAAGTCCTTCTGGGGCACTGGGCTAGGGGGAACCCAAGGTCAGCAAGGGTCTTTCCAGGCTGGGTGCCTGCCTGTGGCATTCACAGGTCTTCTCTGAGCCTGAGGCTACATCTTTCCACCCATACCTTCCTCCAGGGCTGGCGGGATGGGGCAGGGCTTAACCTTGCCAGCTCCATGATAACACTGATACATGGGACATGCTGGCTTGGAAATGGACAGAACTGTCCACTAGACACAAATATCTCCTGAGCACCGATGCTCAGCCCACCCCGACAAGCATAGGGCAGGGTCTCCCAGAGAAGGGGCTGCTCACTGCCACCATCAGGGACAGGGAAGGCAGGAAGAGGCTGTACCTGAGGTTTGAGCTGCCCCTGGGCAGTAGGCGGCAGGGACTCTGGCCCACGGTGACTTGATGGGTACCATTAGGCAGCAAATTGGAAGAACGTAGATAGAAGTTGGAGCCACACAAGGTCAGCCTCATACTGCCTCTCAAGGGTCCTCTGCGGGGGTAGAACTGTGGGCAAAGGTTGCAGAGACCTGAGTCCTCTTGTTGGCCCAGGCACTTAGCCCATTTGTTCTTCCCAGAGTTAGCTGCCGCACCCCTTTACTTACCCCACACTTCAGTTATTCCAGTTTTATTTTGCCTGTTCAAACACTCTTCTGCCTCCAAGCCTTTACATGTACCCTACCCTCTGCCAAGAATGGCCTCCTTGAGCTGAAGAGGTGGCTCAACAGGCAGAGAACATGGCAAACATGCTTGGTATTGCTGGAGACCCAGGTTTGATGCCCAGCACCATAGGGTCCCCTGAATCCCACTGGGAACAATCCCCAAGCACAGAGTCAGGAATAACCCCCAGCATAGCAGGTATGTGCCTTCTCATAGAAAAGAATCCCGGGGCCAGAGTGACAGCAGCTAGGGCATTTGCCTTGCATGCAGCCCAGCAAGGTTCAATCTCCAGCATCCCATATGGTCCCCCAAGTACCACCAGGAGTAATTCCTGAGTGCAGAGCCAGGAGTAATCCCTGAGCGTTTCTGGGTGTAACCCCCCCCCCAAAAAAAAAAGAAAAGAGGAAAAGAAAAAGAATCCCTCCTTGGACTTCTGAGGACATCCTGAGCCAGAGGAAGATGGTGGTAAAGACCTGCTGATCCCATCCCAGGTCTATCTAGCTCCTTCCTTCCTCCCTGGGCCCCGCCAGGTTAGACATACCTCAGTAAGCTCTGGTGGGCAATGGTCTTGTTGCCAGGAGTCCGGACATTCCTTCTGCTGGCCACACATGCCCCCACACCAACCACAGCCCATGAAACGCTGTGCCCTCAGGCAACGAAAACAGGTGAGGAAGTGACGGCAGCCAGGGCCCCGGATAGGTACCTTGAAGACCTTAAAGTAGTGGACAGGAGGCTCAGGGGTGGATCTAGGCCCCTGAGACTCCTGGTCCCATTGTAGATCAGCATAGGGAGACCCATGTCAATACCTCCCTGGATTGGAGGGGAGCCCCCTTTCTACTTCCTTGGTCCCCAAACCCTGGCCCACTTCACCTGGTCCCCAGAGGCAAAGAGCAGGTGGTCTCCAAGGCGACTGACATGGCGTTCCAAAGGCTGCCCATGGTTGCCCAGTGAGAAGTTGGATACAAACAGCAAGTAACTGAGAGACCTGGCCAGTTCCACCTGGAATAGATCAACTGTCAGAAAAATGACGAGGGGGACAGGGATCAAGGAATGAAGGGCTCTGAAGATGAAAGACATACCTGCAGGATGCGTCCATCAGCTGTGCCCATATGGGCCACTGTGACATTACCGAGAGGTGTCACATACAGCGCAGTCACCTGCACAGGTCCCAAGAGTCCATTGAACAGGTCCACACGTGAGAAGACGGTGCTGACCCCGAGGGGAAAGTGGTAGCAGCTGCTGTTGGAGCTGTGGGCCGCTGAGCTAGGCTGGGGAGGGTCAGGAAGGAAGTCAGGGCTCAGCCTCACACACTGAGCTCCCAGGGGCTCTGCATGATCACAGCTGCCTGAACTCCTAGCATGGCTGGAGAAGGCTCCAGGCCTGTTAGTTGGGAAACTCCAGAGGCCTCTGAGAGGTAGCAAGCCCAGGAAAGAGGCCCAGGTGGGAAAGGCACTCCCCTATTCTTGCCCTACCCTGCTTTCCTTCTGAAAATAAATTAGAATCTTACAGGCTCAAACCCATCCTATCCACACCATCCTCTGGAGGGGGTGATCTGGCCACACACTTTTCACCAAAGGAAATGAATAAGCTCCACCGAGAGGTGTGGTCACTGATCTGAGTCCTTAGAGACACTCAAGAGAGAAGTCTATGTGGACGCCTCAGAGTTTAGCCAGAGTCCTCTCCTGCCCCCTGCTGGTTGTGCCTTGCTCTTCAGCAAATCCTGTCTGCCGGTTTCTGTCGAGCATGTTTCCATCTCTCCCTTCATATCTAAATAAGTTTCTTTCAATAAAAAACTTTTTTTTTTGCTTAAAAAGACTGCTTTTCAGGTCAGAGTGATAGTACAGGGCGTAGGGAGTTTGCCTTGCTCACAGCCGACCCGGGTTCAATCCCTGGCATCCCATATGGTCACCCGAGCACCACCAGGAGTAACTCCTGAGTACAGAGCCAGGAGGAACCCCTGAGCAATCACTGGGTTTGACCCAAGAAAGCAAAGAAAGGGGCTGGAGCCATAACACAGCGGGTAGGGTGTTTGCCTTGCACGCGGCGGACCTGGTTTCGATCCCCGGCATCCCATATGGTCCCCCAAGCACCGCCAGGAGTAATTCCTGAGTGCAGAACCAGAAATAACCCCCTGAGCATCGCCAAGTGTGACCCAAAAAGAAAAAAAAAGCAAAGAAAAAAACTGCTTTTCTTCCATTAAAAAAAAAAAAGCTTCTCTTGGGCTGGAGCTGTAGTAGAGTGGGTGGGGTGCCTGCCTTGCACAGGGCTAACTCAAGTCAATCCCTGACATCTTATATGGTCCCCTGAGCCTACCAGGAGTAACCCTGCAGCACTGTTGAGTGTGGCGCGTGCACGCGCACGTGCGCGCGCGCGCACACACACACACACACACACACACACACACACACCCCTCTTGCACTTTGGGTTTCACTTTCCCCATCAGCAAATGGGTTTGGACTCTGAGGTTAAATTGGAGAGCAAAGAGTAGTAACATCTAAAGGCCTTTCTGCTGGCAGCTGCTACCTGCACTTCTCTCTGGGTCCAAAAGGGATAAACCAGGGCCTGAAGATCTGAGTTCCAGACAAGGCCCATTGACAGGAAACACTGAACCCTGCTCTTAATAGGAGGATGTCTGGACATAGCAGAAGTTCTGGAAAACTACAAAACAGGACATAAACAGGAGACCTTGGAGCCCTAGCTACTTGGGAACCTCCCTCACCAACCCCAAGGGCATTCTTCATAGTTGAATGAGCTTGCCAGGTCCTGCCTCACCCCAGGCTTGCTTAATTCAATTCTGAGCCCTCAGTGGTGATCAGGAGCCCTGGGGGAAGAGCATGTGGAGTGACGAGCCCAGAAATGCCATCCTCTAGTCTGTAGCAGGCATGGGTGGGGACAGAGACTCTGTCCTCTCTAGCAGGAAGTCAGCCAGGTGTGCAGAGTGACTCAGGGTTAGGTGGGGCTGTGGAGTGGGAAAGAGGCCCTACCCTAGCTTGGGCCGCACCCCAACTGCTTACCTCTGGATTTCCAGATTTATCTGAAATATGGAAGGGTTCAATGACCCACAAGAGAAGGTGAGCCCCTAAGACTTGAACCCTGCCCGAGCCTGAGGAGAGCAGCATGGAGTCCCTTGGAGCCACTCTCTGAGGCCAGCCCCCAGTAGCACACCATGGATGTTGCTGCAAAAGGTGCAGCCTAGTTGGTGGACAAACACCGTCCAGACTACTTCCCACACTTCACAGAGGCCTGGCTAGCCTCTGGGCAAGGTTTGAGATCATTCCTCTACTCTAGCTCTGCTAAGTCATGTCTGACCCATTGACCCAATATCAGGTCGGAAATAGGTTGGACTCCCAGGTGGAAAAGGGAGGAGGGTAGAGACTGGGTTACCCAGGCCACCAGAGGGAGGCAGGCAGGCGCTCCCCCCCCTCCCCCCCCGCCACTGGCTGTAAATTCTTCCATCACTGAGGCATTAACAGGAACTGGAAAGGTGGGCAATGGCACAGCAGGATCATGGCCACTGGGCAGTCCAAAACACAGAGCAGTATCTGTGGGTCAACTCCCTGAAAAGGGAAAGTGCTTGTCCCATTTCCTTAGTTTAATCTCTTGTAATCCAGAATGAGACATTTTGAATGGGTCAGCTTTTGTTTTGTCCTCAGGGAAGCATTTTAAGGAATCTCCTCTTTCTTGTATCTACCCCAGCTCCCTAACACAGTGACTAAGAGAACCTGGGTAGGGTCTGCTGGAAGGAACCCCAGTTCAGCACAACCTAGAAGACCTCCTGCCATGGATAAAGAGGGGTCACTGGGGTGGGGCTCTGGCTACGATGGAAGAAAATCTTGGACTCCTGTGTGCTGAACCACTTCCAACCAGCCCCTCCTAGGTTTTACTCATCCCCAGATGTTTAAAGCTGCTTGCACAATCCTGGACAAACCTTCTCAAATTTACTATTAATCAAGCCATGTTTCCCCCTTGGTCCCAGGTCCTCCTGCAATATTCCCGAAATGAATCAGAGATGAACGGGTCAATGAAGCCCAAGCTATGTAGGCTCTCTGACAAATGGCCAAACTGCTATGCCCCAGGAATTCTCTGGAATGCGGATGGATGGACAGGGGCTTTCTCCGACAACCCGCCTTAACCTCTCAAAGCAAGAGAGAGAGAGAGAGAGAGAGAGAGAGAGAGAGAGAAGCATTCCCTGGGGGAAACAAACCACTGGTGAGCAGTGAGATGCTGTGTCTCTCTGAACCTCTGCTGTATGTGTGGCCCAGAAATACAGGTGGTTGAAGGGTGGAGGGGATGCCCATCATTCTTCGCAGTGCGTCTCGTAGGGAAGAGAGACCTGGTGCAATCCAGTACTCACATAGCCAGGGAAAGGACCTAAATTATCAGCAGCCATGACCCATGAAGGGTGCAACTGCAAAGTGGGACAGCCATAGGGGCTCCACTGCTGGGACTCCCATGTGGCCTTTGTTTTGGACTCCCTGACTGGACACCCCACCTTGCACTAAGAAATTGGGTGGAAGGAAAATCTTCTCCCAACCCTTCTGTCAAATGTGAAAGGGAAGCAGTGGGGACACGCCTCCCCTCCACCCCAGACTGCTCTGGTGAAGGCTCCCTTCTGCTCACCGGGTTAGGGCACAAACTGGGCGGCTGGAAGAAGATGAGGCCTCGGGGAACTTCGGGGTGGACTGGAGGCTCGCAGCAGCGTTTCACACCCTCGTCAATAAGGGTGTTTATCTGGTCGACGGGAAATGCACAGACCACAGAGCTGGGGATCACACCTGGGCTGCTGCCTCTGTTAGCCTTAAAAACCCCAAATAGCACTTCCTGACCTTCTGCGACGTTTAGCTCCGTTGCCAATCGGCCGCCCACCGGAGCGACATGGGCAGCCTGCAGCTCAGGGTAGCTCTGAGTGCCTGCAGCAACCCCCCGGCGCCGGCGTTTGGGGGCGAATTGACAGTGGAGATTGAGCTCACGGTACTCGCCCAGCTCCGCTTCCGTAGCCTCGGCGCTGAGCCGTGCCACGCGCGTGTGCCAAGCTACAGGTGAGGAATTCAAATTGACGACAGGCTGCACGGTCAGGAAATAGACGAAATCTCCGGAGTGAAAGCTGTACACGTATTCTATGCGGTAGGAAGTGACGAAAGTGGGCAGCACCGACAGCCCGGGAAAGACGGGTTCGAATCCTGAGGCATCAGCCTTGAGGCGTCGGATGGACACTGAGCGTGGACTGAATCTGGAGGCCACCACTGCATCCAGTGAGGAAGCCACATAGAAGTAGGAGGCATGGCCCTGCTCAACCACGGTCACGAGGGTGCCCAGTGGACTGGCCACGCAGTCCGGGCAGTCCTCGGGCCGGTTGTTGGGAGCTGAGAAGAGGCAGGCAGGTGACATCAGGTGCAGGGCTGTCCCATTGGCCTCTAGCTCATGCAGAAAACATCGGCCATGCATGCTCGTGCCGCAGCTGATAAGTGCGGGCAGCGCCGGTTCCAGCACGAGCACTTGCATATCAGTGTCTCCCGGCGGGCCACGGAGCTCCGGGCCACAGGTAGCGCACATCTGGCAGCCAGGGTCCCCGGCAGGGCCAGTGACCAGGCTCTGGACAGGCTGCAAGTCAGGCCCAAACACATGTAGGCGGTTGCGTGTGGCCACGAACACGGCGCCCCCGTTCCCGTCGCCGCCATAGGTCGTCATGGCCTGTATGGGACCACCGGCCGAGGCGCGGGGCATCACGTACTCCACGTCAAAATCGCGGGAAGCGGCGTAGGGGGTGCGCGGGCACTGCCAGTTGCTGCCAGCCACCGGCACCGCCCAGAGCAGCGGCAACAGCATCAACAGGGAGCGCCGCGACGGCGGAGGGGGGAATTCCATCGCGGTCCAGCCCGGGCCGCGCGGGGCTGCCGCAGCCGGAGCCTGGCTGCTAGCGGTCTCAGGTCTGGACTGGGACGGTGTCCAGCAGTGGTCCTGAGAGCCCACGGGAGACCTGAGATGCCCACGCCCCGTCCCCTGCCCTCGGGTCTAAGCGTGCGGCTCCACACACCCCAGAAGGAAATGGGTGTCCGTCTCACCTGCAGCCCGGGCAGCCGCTCCTAGTGTGAGCCTGGAGCAGTCAGCTTTAGGGCGCCGGGCGCGGCCTCAGGGCCGGGGCGCGGGCGGAGCTGTGGGCGGGTGGGCGGGGTCCGAGGAGCCGTGGGCGGGGTATAGACGGGCGGGGTCTCGCATTGGGCACGGCCGTGAGGGAGACCGGGGTGGGAAGCCAGATTCTGACACCCTTCCTTGGGGACCACTTTCTCCGTAATACGTGGGCGAATGTGTGTGGAGTGGTCTGGAGAAGGTGAGTGGGCCTGCGCCGACAACCCCGCACAAGACTGGAGGAGGCCCAGGTGAGGATGGTTCGAGAACCCCAGTTCATCACTTCCCTTAGCCTGGCTTACAGCAACAGCCAGGGACACTGGTTCCCTCCCGGGAACCCACCACGTGGGGCATAGAACCAAGGGCTGTGGGGAGGACCGAGGGTAGATGATTGTGTGCACCCCAGGAGGGAGCACGGCGAGGTGCGCTTAACAGGTGGGGTTTTCCCCAGCACTGGGTTGACAGTCACTGATCACTCAGAGGTGAGTGTTCCCCCCTCCTCCCCTTGACCCTGCCCTGGTCTGGGTATGAGAGTTCTACAGTCAGAGAGGTGTTTGTGGTGCTAGGGATTATACCCTGGTCTCCAACATGAAAAACATGTGCTGTGCTCCAGCCATTTGATCTCTCTCCCCTCCCCAAAAGGCATCTTATATGAAGGGACCCTTATATGAAGGGACCCTAGTCTGGTCTATACACTGCTGCCTCAGCATGTGAGATCTGTGTGTGTGTGTGTGTGTGTGTGTGTTGGAGATACAAAGCTCACAATACAGGCCTTCCTTCCTGGCTCTGCTCCAGTTTCCTTTTGACAGCCCGGAGAAACTTGGACTTTGGCTGTCAGGGCACCCCAACCTGCAAGGTAAGTTTTGCTAGGCCTCAGTCTCCAGGCTGTGAAAAGAGGATGTTAATTCTGAGTTCGTGGTGGCTAGAGATCTCTAGCTCTGATCTGCTTTTGCCATCTCACACCTGGATCTTAGTGGCTGCTTCTTGATGACTAGTCCCACTTAATACCAGAGAGGGGCGATAGGGATAGGGGACATCTTCAGCCTAACAGCCTTCCAAACAGGTGGGCCCTTGAGGGAGGGGAAGCTTCACAGTGTGGCCCTGGGCTGAAATCTAAGGTCTAGCCTTTGTTTTGTTTCGTTTTGTTTTTGGGGCACACCCATCTGTGCTTAGGGGCTACTATGTCTCTGCCTGGGGTCACTCCTGGCAGTGCTTAGGGACCATACATGCTACCAGGGATTTAACAGGATTGACACCATGCAAGGCAAGCACCTTAACCTTTGTACAATCTCTCTAACATTCTCAACCAACCAAAGCAGCTCAGTATGAGGACCTGAGGATGCAGTACTGCTTGGACTCTGATTTGCTCTGGGGCCCACACAGCTGCTTCTGGTGATGCTGAAGGGACCCCATGGTGCTGGGAATAGAACTGGGACCAGCTGCAGGCAAGGCGTGAGCCTACTCCTTACACTATCTCTCCAGCACCAGCTATGAAAATCTTTAAACTTTGTTTTAAAATAAAGTTTATTATAATTAATATCAGTAAATGTCTCATTTGTATATCTTATATACCTATATTCTTCTGTATCACTATCACTGTCACTTTATCACTGTCATCATTCTTTGATTTACTCAAGCGGGCACCAGTAACGTCTCCATTCATTCCCAGCCCTGAGATTTTAGCAGGCAATCCTTACTCGTCTTTCCCAACGTATTGGAGGCTCTTTCAGGGTCAGGGAAATGAGACCTGTTGTTATTACTGCTTTGGGCATATCGAATATGCCATGGCTAGCTTGCCAGGCATACTTGCCAGGGATACTCTCAGTAGCTTGCCGGGCTCTCCAAGATATATATATTTCTCTATTACACATGGTGTGGTATCCTAAGAATGTAAGTATGTGGTAGGTTAGGTAGGTTATTACAACACCTATACTCTTAGGATTGTATAAACATTTCTCAGATGAAAAAGGGTCACAAGTGGGAAAACTTTTCAGAAACCTGATCTGTGGCATCTTTGAACAATGGATCCCAGGACTCTGGGTGGTGAGGCGGTTGGGGCTGGGAAGAAGCCCTGGGACCAACAGAATTCAGCCTGGCCACAGAGCTCTAGCTCCTCTCCAATGCAGTTCACACTGCTCCTTTTTAGCGTTCTCGTTTGGTTTTGGAGCCACCTGGTGGTGCTCAGGAGCGACACCCAGCTCAGTGCTTGGTCTACCAGGAAGTGCTGGCACCAAACCTCCTGTATGCTGATCTACCTCTCCAGCCTAGTTCATACTGTTCTCCATTTAAGAGGCAACCTGTTTATTCCCACCTCTTTCTTGGAACTTAGATGGGCACCTCCCCCAGGAAGCTCTCCTGATCCAAGCAGTACCAGGTTCATTTGCTAGTTCCACAGATTCTGTGCCACACCCACCCCAGCACTGTTCTCTCTTGATAACTGGCTCCCCTTAACTCCTATTTGTGGTTCAAACCTCCCCACAGCTCCCCAAACCAGGAGAGGGATGAGTACCTGGTGACAAAGAGAGGAAACAGCTTGAAGGTGGCTCCACCCCGCCTGAGTTCAGAAGCTGCCAGGCCTGAGGCAATGTAAACAGCACTCCCTTCTCTAAAAGGAATTGCCCAAAAAACACCCATCCATAAACACCTATCTCCTTAGAAAATTCTGGCAAATTTCCCGTGTTCCAATCAACATGTCCTTAGATAGTCACATAGGGCAAAACTGAAACAAAACACTCTGCCTGGCCTGGCAGTGTGGAAGCTTATGCCCTGCCCCCCACTTGCCTCTGCAGAAACTTTCTGTGTGTGTGTGTGGGGGGGGGGGGGGGTGGAGACTTCTGAGGCCCTCCTTAATCACCCACCTTCTGTGAGAGTAGGTGTTGCAACAATTGGTTCCTTTGCTGCTGCGGCTCCGTGACCAAGCTGATAGTTGCCCACAGCCTGAGTTCCTAGCAGGCAGCCTACAGGAGCACCCCTTCCTTCTTGTCTGCTGGCTCTGCAGGCGGGAGCGGGGGTGGGATGGGTTAGAGTGGGGTGGGGGTCAGGCAAGCCAAATGGAAGAGGTCAAGTAGTGGAATGCTGAGTGCAGCGTACAAGTACACAGGTGAACTCAGGTCTGACCCAAACCCAGTGTAGGAGCCACACACTTGCTGTGCGACCTTAAGCAGAGCTAGCCACTGTGCTCTCGTTGGTCCCAATCCCCTCTGTTTTTGTTTGTTAATTGATTAGAAGAGGGTCCTCCCCAGTGATGCTGAGAGTCACCAGGGCTTCAACTGACAGTGTTTCAGAAGGTCATGCAGTACAAGGACAGAACTCGGGGCCTGAGCCCGAGCTCTCTGGTCTCCTCACCTTTTTCACTTCCCTCTGAACACTGTTCCAGAGAACAAGCACCAGCCTCTGTCTTCAACCCAGAGATCATCTCGGTGGCAGCAGCAGGATCACTCTAACCACAATAGGATCATGTCACTCAATAACTTTAAAATATTCTATGTTAGAAGGTATAGAGATATGCATGTAACCTCTCAGTAACAATATTGCAAAGCACAATGCCTAAAAGGAAAATGAGAGAGAGAGAGAGAGAGAGAGAGAGAGAGAGAGAGAGGCAGGCTGTGTGGCTGTGTGTGGGGAGGGGGCACAGGAGGGAAATGGGGGATATTAGTGGTGGGAAATGCACACTAGTAAAGAGATGGGTGTTGGAATATGTATGACTAGAAACTCAATCATGAACAACTTTGTACCAGTATAGCTCATGGTGATTAAATTTTTAAGTAAAATAAAAATAAAATATACAATGCTTAGGGACAGAAATATAGTACAGGGGATAAGCACTTGCTTTGCTCATGACCAATCCTGATAATTTTCAATCCTTAGAACTGCCAAGAGTGATCCCTGAACACAATGCTAGTTGTAAGCCCTGACCACCACTGGATATGACTCCAAAATAATAATAATAATAATAATAATAATAATAATAGTAATTCAATGTTTAACCCCTGCCAGATTTTATACCTGGAATTTAAGAACCTAGGACTGGAAGATTCAAGTTTCATCGCCTTTAGTTTTTCACTTTTGTGTGGTGCCAGGCATTGAGCCCTGGGCCTCCAACACTTAAGCATGCACTCTGCTACTGAGTTAGTGCTCTTGCTCCCAACTTCACTGTAAATCAGTCTTGGGGCTCTTTTTTTTTTAACTTTTTATTTATTTATTTATTTATTTATTTATTGGGTCACACCTGGCGATGCACAGAGGTTACTCCTGGTTCTGCACTCAGGAATCACCCCTGGCGGTGCTCAGGGGACCATATGGGATGCTGGGATTCAAACCCAGGTCGGCCGCGTACAAGGAAAATGCCCTACCTGCTGTGCTATTGCTCCAGCCCTAGTCTTGGGGCCCTTGTGTTGGTAGAAGCATGAGGACTTGAGTTCAATCTGGGCCCCAGTGCATTTGCTGGGATGCTCCCAGAGGCACTACCACAGTAAGCATTTGCTTTTCTGTACACCACATATAGAGGGGAGACTCCAGTTGTGCAACGAAACTAAGAAAGTATGTAAGTACTACACCCAGGTATGAACAACTGGTGAACTGTCATCACAACAAAGACAAAAAGGAAAAGAAAGGGGCTGGAGAGATAGTGTGTAGAGGTAAGGTACTTGTCTTGCATGCAGCTCACCCACATTCAATCCCCAGCACCCCATATGGTCCCCCAAGTCTTCCAGAAGTAACCCTGAGCGCAAAGCCAGGAG